GTAGAACTAGAGTTCAAAACAACAAAATGAAAAGAAAAGAAAAAAAAAATTATAAAACCTATGACTTGCATTTACTTTTATTTCAAAATTTAATAAACGAGCGCATGAAATGTTGAAATATGTGTGAAAATCAGTAATAAACTCACATAAGAGGGAAAAATTCATTAGAGAAAAAATATTTATATTTCGAAACAATTTTTTGTTTTTGAAAAAAAAAATAGTTTTGAATAAAAAGCTTTCTAACAATTTCTGTGTTAATTTTATTAGAATAAACATTAATGTTAAAAGATATAATATAAATATGGTAAACAAAAATATGCACGTGGGAAATTATTTTTAATAAAAATTATTTTCAACGAAAATTATTTCTAATAATTAGAAAAGAATATTAACTTTAAAAATATTCAATATTTATTCATATTTTAATCGATGTATTATTTTCTCAATGAAAATAAAAATTAAAACAAATATTAAATATTGAATTTAGAAATAATCTAAAAAGAAAGAAGAGAAAAAAATTTTGTTTTTAAATATTTGTTTAAAAAATGTCTTCCAACATTTCCAAATGAAGAGAAATGCAATTTCAGAGAAATCAAGATTATAAAATAATTGTATAATAATAAAAAATGTATCAAAGATAATAAACAATAATATATAATAATTATTACTAGCTAATGTTTATTTATTTATTAAAAAAAATGCATCAAAGATATTTTGAGATTCATAATAATTAATTAATAATTTATACTAATGATAAAAATAACAAAAATTATAGAAATAAGTAATAAATTATTATTAAATTATTGTATTTTCGAATAATTATTATCATTTTTAAAAATAATTACTACCATAAGTAAAAATAAAAATATTGTAATAATTATAATATTTAAATATAATAGTAAATATAATAATAAATATAATAGTAAATTTTATAATATTAAATTTAATATTAAATTTGAAAGAAGTTAACAATTTTTCTGAATCAATCTACACAAATAAATTAAATATCTTTAATAATTAAATATCTTAATTAAATTTAATAGTTAAAAATTATTTTTATGTTTGATAATAATAATAGTAATAACAGAAAAAGAAATAGTTGTCAATAGTGACGATTAATTTAATTAAAGTTCAATAAACTAATTATAATATTACAATATTGTAATTGCTACACTGTAAAAAAATTTTATTTTACTCGAAAAGAATTTGAAATGTTTAGAAATAAATTTATAACTCCAATAAATAAACATCACTTTCACGCACTTTTTTTACGATTGACAGCGAGTAAATATTTTTTTTTGTTTCCTCAAAAATGTCAAATTTTTTTTCGTCAATCTCTGATTTTATAAATAATCAAATCACCGAATTGTGGGACAGGTGAGTAAGAAATGCATCTTGGTTGGAAGTAAACTCGGGACTAACGAGATGAGCATAATATTCGTATGGTTACAAACTCTCGAAACGATCACCAAGGTCATCCACATTTTACTAAAAAAAAAAAAAATGTCTTCATCCATTGAAATGATTATATAGTTTTAAATGCTTGCGTGTAAAAAAAAGAGTGAGAGGTCTTTATCATCTTCTCTGAATCATCAAAGTTTGTGATTTCAATTCTTTACTCAAGAAGTCGGGATTTTTTTTTTGGGGGGGGGGGGGGTTTTCATGGAAAATTTCAATTATTTTGGAAAATTAAAAATTTTCTCCAAAAAAAGGGGAATTATTGATAAATAAGTAAATTTTTGTTTGAATTTTAAAGTGTTTTTTTATTTTGGAGTTTTGAATTTTTTTGGGTTCTTATTCGAAAATTTTAATTATTTTCTAAAATTAAAAATTTTCTACCAAAAGAATAGGAATTATTGATAAATAAGTAAATTTTTGTTTCAATTTTAAAGAATTTTTTGGTTTAGAGTTTTGAATTTTTTTTTTGGGTTCTTATTCGAAAATTTCAATTATTTTCCAAAATTAAAAATTTTCTTCTAAGAAACAGAAATTATTGAGAAATAAGTAAATTTTTGTTTCAATTTTAAAGGTTTTTTTGGTTTGGACTTTTAAATTTTTTTTTTGGTTCTTATTCGAAAATTTAAATTATTTTCCAAAATTAAAAATTTTCTCCAAAAAAAAATAGGAATTATTGATAAATTAGTAAATTTTTTTTATATTTTAAAGGTTTTTTGGTTTGGAGTTTCGAATTTTTTTTTCGGTTTTTAATGAAAAATTTCAATTATTTTCGAAAATTAAAAATTTTTTTCCCAAGAAACAAGGATTATTGATAAATAAGTAAATTTTCGTCCAATTTAAAAGTTTTTTTTGGTTTGAAATTTGGAATTCTAAATTTTATATTGAAAATTTTGAAAATGAAAATTTTCACAAATCAAATATTGTTTTTTGTATTAAAAAAGTAGTACTGCAAAAAAAACTGAAAATAAAATACGAGAAGAATCCTAATATTAATTATGAATCTTCAAAGTTTGAGTTTTCAATTTTTTTCTCAAGGGCTTTTCCTGTTTCTTCTAATTTTAATAAAAAATTTTAATTATTTTCCAAAATGAAAATTTTTATTTAACAATAAAATTGATTTGATAAATAACTAAATTTTTGGTATAAATTTTAAACTTTTTTTGAATTCTACAAATTTTTTAATTGAAAAAAATTTTATAAATGAAATATTGTAAAATTATTTATTTGAATATATTAAAAAAGTAGTACCATAAAAAACTAAAAAAATTCAATAAAAATAATTGATTAAAAATAGGTTTTTTTTCCATTTTTTATTTTAAATTTCGTTAAACGGGAAATGATCGCCGACAGGTGGTAATTTTTACATCAAGATCACTATGAATTTGTTTCAAGTGAAAGTTCTTTATCATATATCCAGATGGTACCACTTGTACTATAACCAAGCCCACTTATTTTATTAATTTATTTATTTATTAACCCCTGACTTAAATAGTTTTTCTAATTAAAATTTAAAAAAAAATTATATTTAACATTAAATTATATTTTAATTTATATTTTAATTAATTATTATAGTAATAATTATCACTTCTAATTTTAACAAGAGAAAGAAGAGTGAAAAAAAGAAATAGAAAAAAGTGTAATAATAATAATAATATTAATTAATAACATTAATAATAATTTTTAATTATTACTTTCAATTTTGACAAGAAAAAAAAGAGTAAAATATAATAGCAAACAAAAAAGAGAAAAATATCTACAAAAACAATTTTTAAACGAAAAAACAAGAAAAAGATGTACGAGTTCAAGAAGAATAATTTTAAATAGAAAAGAAAAAAAGGAATAAAAAAAATGTTTGAAACGAAAAATAGAAGAAAATGTCAAAAGGATAAAAAAGGGGAAAAGTCAAAAGGATCAAAAATTTTTTCATACCGACAAAGTACCATAAAAGTTAAACAAATTTTAAATTGAAAAAGCAAAAAAGGAAAAGAAATAAGAGTTCAAGAAGAATAGTTTCAAATATTTGCATAAGAAAAGAAAAAATAGGAATAAAAGAAAAATGTTTCAAAAAAAAAAAAAAAAAAAAAAAAAAAAAAAAAATAGGAGAAAATGTCAAAAGAATAAAAAAAGAGAAAAAAGTCAAAAGGATCAAAAATTTCTTCATACCGACAAATTACCATAAAAGTTTATAGCCAGCCTATTGAATCATAGAGGTCGAATAATTTTTAAACCTAGATTCATTTTTCCAACGCGATCATTATGCAGAATGACGCCACAATGTCTTCGTTTATCATAAATTATTCAGACGATCCAATGTATGACACATTGAGAAAAGTGCAATGTTCGCGATGATTAATAATGATTAATAATATAGGCAAATAGAAAAAAAAACAGAGGCGAAAAAATTTTATTTACCTATTTTATCCGCAATTTAAGATATTGTAAATTATTTCGATTGAGAAAATATATTGTTAATTCATTTGGAGGAAGTGAAAATTATTTAATAGAAATTTTTCTAATATATTAATAAATAATATAGTCTACATAACAATATAGTCAAATATAGTCCAAATAATAATTTTATTAGCCTAAAATGTTAATTTTAAAAAGTCACAGTAGTAAACTGTCCGTACAATAAAAAATTTATAAAAAAAAAATATAACGAAAGTTTACAAAAATAAAAAAATTATCCTAAAAATGTAAATAATGAAAACTAAAAATAATAAAAACAATAAAAAAAATAAAAATGAAAATTATAAAAGAAAAATTAAAGAAGAATCTGACGGACAGTCAAAAAAACACTTAGTCCAATGTCATAATTTCGTAATTTAAAAGAGACAAATTAAATTTTAAATTCTTTTTGATGGAAAGGCGAAGAATTTAATTTTGAACACTTCAAACGAATAAAAGTTGCAATTTGAATAAAAATTACAATTTTCCGTCAATAAGAAACATTTGTTAAATTTTAGGTTCTATTAATTTATTATTATTTTAGGTTTTATTATTTATTTATTATTAACAGAAAATTATAATTTTCATTGAAATATAATTTTAAATTACGTTTACAATGTAGAAAATAAAATTGAATTTTTGCAATTATTTGTAATTTCTTCAAAATTGAGTTTTTTTAGTGTTTTCAACAAAAATTTAAATTAGAAAATTTTTAAATTCTATTATTTTTAAAATTGCTAATTTTAAAGACAGTAAGAAGTTAGCGCGTGAATTGTTGCTAGTAAATATAATATAATTGACAAAAAACGATAATTGAAATAAAAATTATAATACCAAAGTTAATAAAAATAATAAAAATAAAAATTATAAAATTGCAGTTAATAAAAATAATAAAAATTGATAAGAATAATAAAAAAAAAATTAATGGAATAATAAGAAAAGAATAATCAAAAGAAATCAATTTTAAAAACTAAAAGAGTTGAGGTTTATGATTTACTGAAATAATTAATTATTATAAATTACAATTTTACTTCTTCTATGTTAGGATAAATAAATACTGATTAATGAAGAAATATTACATTTTTAGTCAATATTGTGTAATCATGTTTTATATAAATATACAATTTTATACCTACAATAATATATATTTACATAGCACTGTTACATACTACCCATTGAACCCACAATCACTAAATTACAATATAGAATTATGAGATGTTTGTTTTTAATAAGTAAATAGTTTTTTAAAACTTGTACAATTGTTACGTTACAATATTTTCCCTCAAATATTTATTTTTACTTAAAGTTCCTTCGCTCTCCTTTTAAAAATTATTTTCCTGTTTTTTGTAGACTTTAATGATTAACATATTCCTAGTCAGATTATATAATATCTCCCTTCAATGTGGATTCAGTAGTAAAAGTCAGTTACGGTCAGACGAAATTCTTTAAATTTCATTATTGGGAAATTAATTTCTATTAGCTTCAATTAAATTAAAAGAAATTTTTTTTAGAGTTGTAATTTTTGACTAGTAGTAAAAGAAATTTTTTCCAGTCATAGTCGATTTTTTGATTCAGTAGAAAAGGAGAATTACAGTAAGACGGGAATTTTCTAGAAAAGTATTTCAAATAGAAGTAGTAATTTTTTAGTAGAAGAAGACAATTTTGGTCAGACGGAATTTCGGATGTTTTTTATTTACTTTCAAGTAGTAAATTTTTTATTAGTCAGACAGAACTTTTGGAATCAGTAGAAAAAGACAACTATAGTAAGACATAATTTTTCTAGTAAATTATTTCAATACGGCCACAGATTTGCTAGGAGAAAAAGACCCTATTTTGTCAGACATATTTTAGGAAATTTTTTGTATAGGTAGTGAAATCATTTTCAGATGGACGGAATTTTTCTAATTAGCAAATTTTATATTAAGCCCAACATAAGTTTTATCACCAGTAGTAAGAGACAACTTTAGTCAGACAAAAGTGTATTTTTCTGTATTGATTGTAACTTTTTACTAATAGTAAAAGAAAATTTACGTCAGACGAACATTTAAAAAAAAATTTATTTCCAGTGGTAAAAGACAGTTTTAGTCAGACACTTTTGTACAGTCAGTGGGAGAAAACTCCACTAGTATAAAAACTTTTCCTAAATTTAGTAATTTTTGTCTCAGTAGTAAAAGAAAAGTTTAGTCAGACTGAATATTGTGGAGTTATTCGAAAAGTAGTTTAAGTAGTACAAACATTTTAAGTCAGACATTTTTTCCTATTATCAGTTATACAATTTTTGGTAAGACAAATTTTGCCTAATATTTATAATTTTCAGTAGTAAAAAACTACGTTTAGTCACACAGAAATTGAATTTTAATTTTAGTTACAAGTATAGTAAAAATCGAATTCACTAGAACAGAATTGTTTGGAATTTTCTACAATTAATTTTAATTTCTAAACCAGTAGTTAAATCTAATTACAGGAAAAGAAAATTTTAGATTTTTGCAAATTTCGACACTAGTAGTACAGACTAATCCTAGTAAGACAAAAGTTTGAAGAATTTTTCTGACCTTAGTCCCAGTGGTGAAAAAAAGTTTTAGTCAACCAGACTTTGGTATCAATATATATAGTTACAGATAATTTCAAAAAAAGAAAACTGCTTTTCCGTTATAATTTTTCCATATCAGTGGTATAAAACAATTTTAGTCAGACAAAGGTTATTCTTACAATTTTCCTAGTGGTAATTTTCCCAGTAGAGAAAGATACCTTTAGTCAGACAATTTTATCCTAAACTTTTCTAGAATAAATCCCTTCATAGAGTTTCAAAAAAGAATTCTAAATTACATAACAAAAACGTTTAGAGATTCTTTTAATTTTTAAAATAAGTAGCAAATGACAAGTTCCCTTTCTGGAGGACAGAAAAAAACGTTAATTTCCCATCAGTAGAAAATGTCAGTTACAGTCAGACAAAAAATGAATTTTCCATAAAATCGAAAAAATTCCTTCAGAAATTCTTTTGAAAATTCTTTTGAAAATTTTAAAAAATATAAATAATATTTTAAAAGATATTTTTAAAGATATTTTTAAAGATAATTTACAGTATACAATATACAAGAGTTGGAAAAGAAAAACGAAATTTAAAAAAATCAAGACTCAGCTTACAAATAATATGGCTGGTTTGAATTTTCGTTTATAAATAAATAATACTTATAACAAAATGATCAGTTCTTCTCTTTTCAAATGTCTTTAAATTTTACAAAATTGTTTCTTAAAATATTAAACAAACAAGAAAAGTAAAAACAATAAATATGTAGCATTTTTCTATTTAAAAAAAAAATTGTTGCCCTAGAGTCACTCTCGTTAATGAGTTTAATGACTTGTCTAGATGTCAAGCGCCTCCAGCAACGGTTGAGCAATTCAAATCACCTATAAGGATACTGCAATCGATCTACTTTGGATTATCCGAAGGTAAACCCTTTATAGCGAATGCTCCTCGAAATATTGGTTTAAAAACCTCCAAAACGCTCTGCGTTCGAAGCGCTGAGTTCTGAAATAAAAAATAGATTTTTGTAACTTGCGAAATTTATTAATTGAAACTTATTAATTTATTAATAATTTATTTATTTATTTTATTATTTATCTCTATTTGTTTATTAGTCTATATTAATTTTTTTTAAATTTCTTTTTTATTTAATTCTTTATTTACTAACTAATCTATATTTATTTATTTTTGTATATTTAATTATTCATTAATTCACTAATCTACATTTTTTTTTATATTTATTTATCTATTTTTATTTATTTAGTTTTTTATGTAAAAAATTTTTTTATTTACTCATTCACATAAATTTATTTTATTTTTCCATATTCAATTGTTTTCTACCTCACTAATCTATATTTATTTATTTATTTTATAATTATTTATTAAGTAGCAACAATTCACGCGGCTAATATTTTAGGGTAAAATTAGCAATTTTATAAAAATAATAGAATTTAAAAATTTTTAATTCAAATTCTTGTTAAAAAAAACATTAAAAAATCCAATTTTGGAAAAAATACAAATAATTGCAGAAATTCAATTATTTTCAAGAGTGATAAAATTCTTCTCATAAAATTCAATTATCTTTCAAATTTCAAAAAAATTCTCGTCCAAATCCCAATTATCTTTATATAAATAACAGAAAAAAAAATAATAAAAATTTCTCAAGAATTCAATTATTTTTATAAATAATACAATTTTTTTAAGGAATTCAATTATTTTCATAAAAAATAATTAAAAATTGGAGAAAATAATTGATTTAAAATGATGAAAATAATTTTTGAAAAATTTACTGTAATAATATTTTTATAATATAAAACAATGATTTTATCTCTCGGTCATTTTTAATTATTATAAAACATTCTTATAAGTTATTGAATTTAAAAAGAAAATTTTTAATTCCTATGGAAGAATAATAAATAACAAATAAATGTAACAGAACATTTTTTTGAGTAAAATTTTTTCCTTTATTTTCTAAAAATTTAAAAAGTTTCAATTTCATGTTCAATTAAAATTTGTAATTTACAAATAGAATTTTATCTTCAATTATTTATTTACTAATTTATCTATATTCATTAATATTTTTTTATTTATAGTTATGTATTTTTATTTATTTTTCTATCTTTTTCTAAATAGTTAACTATTTAGTTACTTATTTAAATCCATTCTTATTTTTTTTTATCAACGTTTATAAATATATAAATTTATTAATATTTCCCATTGCGAAATGATATCAAAATTTTTTTCTTCGTACTCTTTATGTACCTATTAATGTAATTAATAAATAAATAACTAACAAATATACAGAATTCGATAATTAATCTTGACAAGACAAAAAAAATAAAAAATTAAATGATTAAACGAACTTACCTGTAAGTGAAGTTCTATCATAATTGTATGAAGCGCCTCTTCTGAAGAGATTATATATTGTAGTACCCCCCAGGTGTCTCACTAACGCCACACTTTTCAAAGATAATAGAAAAATTGAACTATTATCTGGAATCCTACTTTATCGACTCTCCCTCTCCTCGAATCTAGCTCATTCCTTTAAAGTATTGCCGTAATATATGGGATTCTATTTTTAGAATAACGGGATAATTTATTTATTTTTAACTTAAATTTACGGGTGGGAAACATCTCTTCAGAAGAGGCGCTTCATACAATTATGATAGAACTTCACTTACAGGTAAGTTCGTTTAATCATTTAATTGTATTTCGCGCCTCTTCTGAAGAGATTATATATTGTAGATGTTTAAAGATCATTACGGCAATTTTTTTCTTGCAAAGTGAGTAATTAATCTTTATTATGATTTTTATAACATTGTGTAATACAGATCTTTGTTAATAGTAATAATTCAAATAATTATGAAATTATAATACAGAAAAAGGTAACAAAAAATTTTTCTTATTCTAACACAGATAGCGCAAACAAGTTCCGATCGTCAACTACATCTCTTTTATAAAACTTCGCAAATGTGTTGGATTTTTCGGTCCAACCTGCTGTTTTCAAGATGGTATCTATATTAATACCACCCCTATGAGCCGCTGAAGTAGCAGCATGACGAGTGCTATAAGCACTAAAAACTTCAGTGTTAATTCCGCTTTTCGTCATTACGTCTTTTACCCAGCGACTCAATGTTTGTGTAGTGATCGGATTGTAAGGTTTCTTGAACGATAGTAAAAACTGTTTATTCTCGCCCCTTAGTGAACTAGTTCTTTCTAAATATTCTTTAAGGGACAAAACCGGGCATATTAGACTGTTCTCAGTATAGTAAGGAAGGAACAAGGTAGGTTGAGGCCTATTTATTTTTGAAGTCTTGATTTGATCCGGGATCTTAATTTCAATTCCATTATCTGATTCCTTAATATTTCTAATATCTATTGATATTAAGGTTTGAAGCCGATGTCCCGTCACTAGGGCTAACAATATTGCTATTTTCGAAGAAAGTTTACCTAGATTTAGATCGCTATTTGGTCCCCACTTCGAAATAAAATCTAGTACAATCTTCGGATCCCATGTCGTATTATATTTCGGTTTAGATGGTCGCAATTTGGATGCACCCTTGAAAAATCTTTTTACCCTGTCATCTTCGGCTAAATTTGTGCCGTATATTAATGCGATTGCGGATCTAAAGGAGTTTAAAGAACCATAGGACATTCCATTTTTATATTCATTAGTAAGAAAACTTAAAATGTTTTGAATTGAGCCTCGGAAAGGATCAATGTTTTCAAGACTGCAAAACTCCCACCATTTTTTCAACCCGCAATCGTACTGTTTCTTAGTTGAATTTGTTAATGATGAAAACATAACATCCGCTGTTTCCGCTGATACTTGTTTCATTTGGAATGCCTGTTTGATAACACGTTCGCAACCAGGGTAAGCGTTTTCCACATTGGATGGGGCTCCCTGTTAATAGATTGAAGAAGATTAACACTTGGTTTAAAATATAAGGGCTTAGAAATTGACAATTCTAGAAATAATGGAAACCAGGGCTGAGCTGGCCAGTAAGGTACGATTAAGATTCCTTTTGCGTTTTCAAATTTAATTTTTTGTAAAACTCTTAATATTATAGAAAAAGGTGGAAATGCGTAAAAAAAATATTGTTTCCATTTTAGAGTGAACGCATCTACAGCGTAGGAATCGGGATCTCTTTTCCAGGAGACGTAGCATCTACACTTTGTGTTTGATCTTGATGCGAAGAGATCAATCTGTGGTTTACCAAAATTTTTAACAATATCATCGAAACATTCTCTATGTAACGCGTATTCCGTTTCCGGTTCTAGTTTTCTTGACTCAAAATCTGCTTCTTTATTTTTCTTAGATGCTATATATGATGCAAATACCCACAGATTCCTCTCTTCACACCAGATCCAGATTTCTTTTGAAAGGTCATTTAATTGAGGATATTGAACACCGCCTTTTTTATTTATATATGCGATGGCCGTAGTGTTATCCACCCTTAACAGTATATCTTGACCTTTTAATTTTTTCGCAAAGCATTTTAAGCCCATTAAGACAGCCATTAATTCTAAACCGTTAATGTGTTTTGTTTTTTCCTCTTTCGTCCAAAACCCATGAGCACGTTTTCCATTGCATGCAGCTCCCCAGCCAGTGAGAGATGCATCGGTAAAAATCTCAATACAAGGGTTAAAACAGGTGATAGAATTGACTGCTTTTGGAATATTTAACTTCCACCAATCAAGATCGGATAGTGAAAGATTTTTTAGAGACATAATTGCTTCAAAATTGTCATTATTCTCTCTAAGAGCCAAAAATTTTTCGTATTCAAAGTTTCTTGTATATACACGACCGTATTTTAACGTACAACAACAAAAACCTAAAGTCCCGATAAACGACGCGAATTCTCGAATCGTGCATTGTTTTGTATTTTTAATTTTATTAATTTGCGAAATAATTTTCAATTTTTTATCTGCTGGAAGTTCGACAGTCATATTTTCTGAATTATAATCTAAACCTAAATATCTACATTTCAGCGAAGGTACAAGATTACTCTTCTTTAGATTAATAACAAAACCTAACTGTTTTAAATAAGAACAAGTTACATTTACATTTTGTTCGCATTCATTTTTTGTTTGTCCAAATAAGAGCATGTCATCCAAATATATAACCGACTGTAACCCCAGCGACCTTAAATGAAAGATGACGGGTTTCATTATTTTAGTGAAAGTATAAGGTGCTGTACTCATCCCAAACGGTAGACAGGTATATTCATAAAGTTTCCCAGAAAACAAAAATCTTAAAAACTTCCTATCATCTTCTGCGATTGGAATTAAATGGTACGCGTCTTGTAAGTCAAGAGTTGCCATAAAACAACCAGGACTTATTATTCGTCTAACCGTCTTATCGTCCTCTAATTTAAAATGATCAGTTTTTATAAATTTATTTAAATTTTTTAAATTCAAAATGAGACGATACGAACCGTCTGGTTTCGGAACTACGAATATTTTTGAAATAAATTGATCCTTACAAGGATCAACTACTTGAATGGCACCCATTGCCATTAAATCATCAATTTTCTTCTCTATTATATTAATTTCAAGTTCCGACCATTTTGTTTCTTTAGGAACTGTTAATTGATATACATTAAACGCGAAAGGAATCTTATAACCTGTAATCCAGCTTAAAATTATTTTAGTGGGTGAAATTTTTTCCCATTCACCAACAAAATATTTTAAGCGCCCTGCATGTTTTACCTGATTTAATTGCGTTCCTTGTTGAACTTTTTCTTCTTCATTGGATCGTTGTAACTCGTTTTCTGGCCGCGCGATGAGAACTTCTGCCCGGTTTGTGGAAATTGACGTCTCGGCGGTTGACGACGTGCCGGGCCTCTCAAGTTTTTTGGCGAATTGTTCGGTTTTTTCATCTTTAAAGCTCCGCTTGATGTAGCTAACACTTTTGTCGCCTTTACTTGTTCTTCTAAATTTTCTCCAAATAACCATTCACCTACTTGAGTGGAATTAAGAGTTTCTCGCATAGAACCATCTATGTTTTTCAAAATGAGGTTTCTACGAATTGATGATTGATCGAACTGCAAATCTGCGATTATTCTGAGGACACTGCTCACTATTCCCAACATTTCGAGTTTTTTCTCATTGTCCAGAGTGAACGCAAAAGATGCTAAATTCATGAGCCCTCCAAGACTAGCAGTAATTTTTTGTTGCGTATCGACAATACGTAGATCTCTTTTTATAACAGGATCTTGTAAGGCGGCCTTTACTGCAGCGTTTAATTTTGGTGGATCCAAAAACAAACAATTTTTTGGTGGGGGAAACTTAACCATCAAAATTTTCTTTTCTTCCCTTGGTAGTCCTTTTTTGATAATTTCAGATATTCTTACGGCCAAATCCTCATTAGCTTCTGGCGCTAGAACTCTTTCTGGATCAATTCGGCTACCAATAACTTTTAACTCTTCAATAGAAAGCGAATTTATTGTGTTTGCCGATTCAGAGATTTTTCCCGATTCAGGATTTTTGTCGAAAGTGGATATTTGTTCTTTATTTGCAACTTTATTTGTGTCTGTATTTTGTGAAATTTCATTTCCACGTGCATTATGGTTACTTGCAGAGGAACCTGATTGCACTTGATTATCATTAATTTCCACTTCTTTGAATTTATTATTTTCATCGTCAGAGTATTCGTCTGTATATACTGTTTGACTTTCAGAATCAGTTTTTTGATCTGGATAACGATAACTATAACTATCTCTAGACGAACTCCGACCTCTATACTTTTCTCTTGACGGCATTTTAGATCGTCGATCTTCGTATTTTCCTAAAATAAAATGTATTATTTTAGAATACATAATTTTATTTTATTCATTATTATTACTATTATTTTTTGAAGATTAATAGTTTTTCGAATAATAAATATTTTTTATGCATACAAACAACCGCGGACGGTTTGTACACCGAACCATTTTTGGTTATATTATACTGATCGAGCTTGGGTTTGAGCAATATGTTCACAGTTAATGAGAAAATATATAAATTAAAATTAAAAGACAAACATCTTGCAAGATAGAGTCTTATTTATTTATTTTTAAATACTTTATATTTTGACAAAAATAAAGTATATTTGAATCTGCCTCTTCGTACACAAACGTTTGCAGAACGTTGTGACAGACAGTGCTCTTCGCCCTTTTCCACAATCAGTTGCATTTTTTATTAAGGAAAATTAACAAAACTTATTTTTAACTATTTATAATTTTTATATTAAGATTTATATTGAGATTCTCATTTAAGAAAACAAACATTTCTTACGGCATCAAAAATTAAAAACATCAGATTAAAATTTTTACCACGTGTCAAAGCTAACCTCAAATTTTAACTTACTTTTTCGTAATCTATCTTCCATTTCTTCTTGAAAAAGACGCATTTTTCTCCTCATCCACTTGCCGTCACTATCTTCCGACGAACTGGATCTGCTTCTTTTTCTTTTTCCCATTTTATTTTAACTTTTTTATAACTTTGCAATTTTGTGTGTTGACGTTGTGACACACTTGAAAAGAATGAGCTAGATTCGAGGAGAGGGAGAGTCGATAAAGTAGGATTCCAGATAATAGTTCAATTTTTCTATTATCTTTGAAAAGTGTGGCGTTAGTGAGACACCTGGGGGGTACTACAATATATAATCTCTTCAGAAGAGGCGCGAAATACAATTGAAATAATCTTAATTCATAAACGATTTTTCAAATTACAAAACACAAAAAAATATAAAAATCGAAAGAAAAAAGTAGATTTTCATTTATGGTGTTAATGAAATTCAACAAAACAGAATGTCCGGGTCATGAAAGTTTAAGCATTAATTTTCCTTCTATTCTTTTTCCCTTTGACAATCGCAGTGGGAGTGAAAGAGGAAATGATAAATCAAACGTTTAATTATAAGAGCACAAACGATAGTTCAAAATATATAGATATATATATAAAGTAAAAATATAAGAATTTTCCATATCTATTTTATAATCGAGGACAACCGGTCACCCATTATAGATCCTTGCATTCGAAAGAGACGAATCTTGCCGGACATGTATCAAAAGTTACTGACGCACGACATAGGGTAAAGTGCCACAGGACTTTTGCAATATCAATTCAAGTGAAAGGGATTGATCTATAAAATATATGTTCTGTCCACTTACGCGTATGCCACTATATATTTTAAAACGCATATAAATTTAATAAAAATCGATTTTTTTTTTTTTTTTTTTTTTTTTTTTGAAAAAAAAATGCTAAATTACTATATTTATTTCGAAACATTAGACAGAAAAAATAGCAAATTTTTATATAGTTTGTTTATAGAATAGAAAAATTATACACTATATAGGGTATAAATATTTATTCAGTTCAATAGACAATAAAAAATTTGTTTTTAATTTATATTTAAAAGTTTGATGGTTATTATTGGGAAATTTAATATTTTATTAAGAATATTAATTAATTACTTTATTTATTTATTGATTATTAAGAAAATGAATTTATTTAGTGATTAATTTATAAGGTAATTAATATAGTAAGTAATTTAATTCTTGAAATCATTAAACATAGTAAGAAATTAATTTCTAGAATATTTAAAATAGCAAGTAATTAATTTTTGGAGTAATTATAATAGAAAGTATTTAATTTTTGGAGTAATTAACATAATAAGTAATTAATTTTTGGAGTAATTCTCTTAATAGACAAGTAATTCATTTGATAATTAATTTATTAGGTAATTAATTTACTATGTAATTTAATTTTCGGAGTAATAAATATACTTATTAGCCAATCAATTGAGAAAATAACTAATTTATTTTTCAATTAATTTTTGGGTTAGTAACCTCAATTCATTAGGTTACTAATTTATTAGATAATTAATTTTTTGAGGAAATAACTCATTACGCCATTAATTTTCTGAAGACCTAATTTATTAGTTAATTAGCTTTTAGAGAAACTAATTTATTAGGTAACTAATATAGTAAATAATTAATTTTTTACTATAATTATCTTACTAGAAAATCAATTTATTTGGTAATTAATTTATTAAGTAATTAATTTTTAAAGAATTTAACTTATTTGTTAATTAATTTTTAAGTGATTCGTTTTTTGGAAAAATTAAGTTAATTAATTACCATTTTTTTTACTAATTAATGTAGATAGTAATTATTTTTTAGAGAAATAAACTTCTTAACTAATTAATTAATTTTTGGAGTAATTATGTTTTCAGGTTATAAATTTATTACGTATTTCATTTATTAAGTGACCAATTTATGAAGTAGCTAATTTTGTTACTATTTAATTAATAATTTAAATTAACAAATTGTAATTACCATTATGAGGCTACCAACGATTTTACTCAAATTTGTAACCAGAGAGAATCCTGTACCAAAAATTTGCGACGGAACATCCAATGAAACTTTTTTTCTGTCAAATTCTGGAATATCCTCCTCGGTCGTTGAGCGCACCTAGTACAAAAAAAATAATTTCAAAAAAAATTGTTTCTTTCAAGAAATAGAAAATTTTTTTTCAAACGAACCAAAAAAAAAATAATAATAATCATTAAAATCATTACCACCATTATATAATTGTCAATCCCATTTTTTTGCAAGCATCCAATAGAAAGCAAGAGAAGAATTCGGCAAAATAAAATAAAAAACAGTATTGAAAGAAAATTACAAAACTTTATTTTATTTCTTGTACAATTTTTTTTAGTTTCTCTTATAAATATAGTATTTTCACCAAATAAAATCAAAATTCATTTTCGTAGCTTAGAAAATAATTAGAAATAATTGGAAAATAATTGTTATAATAAATAAATATTAAATATTCCCAAAAGTAATTAGCATTAAAAATATTTACAATAATTAGTACGTCATGTAATAAATATGCAATTAATTGTTAATTGCGTCTAATAAAAATAATTATAATTATGATAATAGTAGAAACTAATAATAACTAATGCTAATAATAATTATAACTAATAATAATAATAACTAATAATAACTAATAATAATTAATAATTATCAAGTGGATAAAATCAAATTTTAGTAAATATTAAAATTAAAAATAAATTAGATTTTTTAATTATTTATTATAATTATAATTTTATTTTTGTTCATTATTATAATTTTTTATTGTTGTTATTATAATTATTGTTACTATTACTATTTTTATTATTATTATTATTATTATTATTATTATTATTATTATTATTATTATTATTTTTATTAATGTTTGCTTTTCGTTAAAAATGTTTTCTGAAATTATTTTGTAATAAAAAGGCAAAAGACCTTTTTTGATACAAAATTTTTTTTATTAATATTGCTTAAATATTACTCTCTGCTATTAATATTATAATTATTGTTATTGTCACTTTTTTTCATTATTGTTTATTATTATTATTATTATTATTATTATTATTATTATTAATATTATTATTTATATTTTTCTAAAAATTATTGTTATCATTATTTTTATTCTCTTCCTTATTTTTTTTAATTTAATTTTGTTTTTTAATTTTTAATTTTATAAATTTTTATTTTTAATAAAATTTCTCTGTTAATCATAAAGAATTATTATTGAATTTAAAAAAAAATCGTTTACCATATTAATAGGTCAAGGGTGAAGTAAAAAAAGAAGCCGTGTAATTTATACACAATTTTTGTAATAAAAGTCGTAAAGTTTATTTGACATAATTATCTCATTATCATCATCATCATCTTCATAATATTTAGCGTCTATAGGAGTGTACAAATCCGCTATTTACAATAATTTACACAATTCGCGGTCTCATTCTTATCCTATCGTAATTAAGTACATTACTATTATTATTATTATTTACAGCATTCTTGTGGTAAAATATAGAGGTTTTGCAAACAATGGCCAAAAATCAGGGTTAGGGTCAGTTCTCAATCGCACGTTTTTCAGTTTAAACTGTGTAGGGGAGGGTTTATTGGGTTCCATATGGTCCTTTTTTCTAAAAAAGAGAGAAAAAAAAATAGAAGAAAAAATAACAGTAAAATTATCAATTAGTTCGTCATTTTTACATTTGTTTTTTTGTTTCTTTGTTTTTGTTTCTTTTTTTGAAGGCGAATGTTTGAAACTTGAAGGTGTCGTTTTTTGTCCAAATGTCCAAATTGTTGAAAATAGTTTTTTATATTATATGTGAAAAAAATACAGGCAAGGAAAAAGTAAAAAAAAATTTTTTTTAAGCATTGTTAATATAAATTAATGACTAAAATAATAAATTTACAGCCGTTTGGAGAGAAATTGTATTTATATTGTAGTGAAGCGATAATATGATTTAGTAAAAAGCGAGCGAAGAAATAGAATCGAAAATTTTTTTTTTTTTTAATTTGAAATTAATGAAAATTTAATTTACTGCGTTTTGCAGTAAATTAAATTTTCATTAATTTCAAATTAAAAAAAAAACTAATTTGCAATTTTTCTAATTTAAAAAAAAACCGGTAAAGTAAATTATTTTTGAAAATATCTTTTTTCTTTTTGGTAACAAAAATAATTTTCAACCAAAAAAGATTTTGTGACAAAATTTAATTTCTAAATTTGCTAAAAATTAAAATAAAAAACTAAAAAAAGAATAAAAGAAATTTACATTTTATTTTCGATTTTACCTTTTAGAAAATTTATTTTTACTTTCAGTAATCTCCCCATCCAAGATGATATTTTTTATCATACTTTCGATTCTATTTCGAAACAGATGAAAATGGCAAGAATGACTGGCTAGACATTCGTTGCATAATGTCAGAAATTATTAAGCATCCTGTTTAATAAAAAAAAAATAAATAACGAGAGAGAGGAGAAGCCAACGTCATTAAATTTCCAAGAAAAATCGAAGAGATTAATATTAATTTAAATTCAAATACTATTTTTACAGAATTTTTTTAGTAAATTCCAAATTGACAAAAAAAAATTCTATTTACTAAATTTTAACTAATATATTTTTTTACTAGGTGCATTTAAAAATTGAAAAATTTGATTAATATAACATTTCTTCTAATTGCGAATAAAATTAAAAAATTGCACTATTAATGTAGTCAAAAAATTAAAATCTAAAAGTGTAGATAAATTTGCAAATAAATTATAAGAAAAAAATTTTCTAAAAAAAAAATGCAAATTCAAAATTGCTGACATTTTAATAAAGTCATTTTCCTAGTGAATAAAAAACAATTTATGTTTTTTGCTCTCATTTATAGTCGTTAATAATTATAAACTACTTTCTCCATTAAAAATCTATAATTTACAACTATTTTATTTTTACATCTATGAAGCAAGCTCTTAAATGCCATGAATCTTGACTATAAGAAAAAAGTAGAAAAGCCGCAATTTTTGGTTATTTGAATTTCGTCGAAAGCTCTTTTAATCCAAATATTACAAATTTGTAATGAATAATTATTACATTTTATAATTGTAATTAATAATTACTGAATGCAATAATTATTAAAATTAATAATAGTGATTTTTACCATTAGAATTTATTTAAATTAAAAATTATTATAACAAATAGTTATGATAACTAATAATTATTTTAATTAATAATTAAATAATCAGAAAAATTATTATTATTCGATAAAGTAATTAACATTCTATTCGATTTTCGTTCGAATGACTACAAAAATATTTTTAATTTCGATAGTATCTAAACAATTATTTATAACTGAATCAATTATTAACAATTATAACCTAAATTTGGTGTAATTAATCATTTTTTAATTATTATTTAATATTTACTTTTTCTTGTTTTAGAAAGCAAAACAAATAACCAAAAATTATTCTTACGGTAAAAATTGTAAAATAACTTTTACCAAGTTCAAACAGTAAAACCCAAAAGTTCTGACATTTTTGGAAATTGTAAACTTTGCATAATTTATTTTAATTAATTGAAAATAATTAATTACAAGTGCCAGATAATTTTGGTTTTAGTAGTAAAAAGAATAATTAGAATAGTAAAAGAAGTAATTATTAACTAATTAATTAATATTTAATAAATTAAATTAATTATTAATTAATTAATAATTAAGAGTAAAAAAAGGTAAAAATTACTTTGCAATTTTTTGTTGCCGTGAAAGAAAAAAAATTTGATGAAATGAATGAAAAATGTTAATATGAGAATTATGAATAAAAATGAAGAAGGTGTTTAGGGAGAAAGGGTTCAAAAGTAGGGGGGCGAGAATAATTTTTTTTTACAGAAGCAACCAAAGAGCCTCTTCTAAAATTATTATCAATGCAATTTCTAGAAAGAAACGTGCGAAATAGTCATTCAAAAAAAAAAAAAAAAAAAATGGAATTAATAATAACTTAGTATCCCTTGTCTCCATTAAAATTCGCAAATGCGCCAAGGTTAAGGCCTACATTTGTCCCTGCATCTTCACCAAGACTAGCATCATCATCACCAACATCATCACTAGAACTCACATCGTCAGTATGGGAATTTCCATTATTGCTACTTGCTCCACTGAGACTTGTCAATGTCGAGAGAATATTTCCCGAGCCACCACCTCCACCGGAATGATCTAAAAATATAATTTATGTTATTAATAATAAGAATAATAATAATACATTAATAATAAAAATAATAATTACAATGAAAAAAAAATTATTTTTTTCTCTAGAGTTAAAAAAAAGTTCAAATAATTTTTATTAATTTTATCACTGTTTTTAAATTATTTAAAAGATTTCCAGTAGAAAAAAATTTTCTTCTTTAATTAAAATAAATTAGAAAAAGTATTTTTTTCAATTTAAAAAGAAATAATTAAAAAAATTGGTTAAATTTAAAAAAATATTTTATTGTGGAAGGAACTGATTAATTCTTTCTAATAAAAAAAACTGTTTTTAATTCTCTTCAAATACAAAAAAATGGTTAAAATTTTTTTTTTAATTAGAAAAAATTGATTATTTTTAATCAGGAAAATCAATTATTAAAAATTGATTATTTTTTTAATTACAAAAAAATTAAAGAAATTTTAAATTAAAAAATAAAAAATTTGGTTAACACTATTTTTTAAATACAAGAAATTGATTAAAAAATTTTTTTGGAAACGGCAAAAAGTAATTTTTTGGTGGGTAATTTAGTACCTGAATCGCCGGAACCACCCGATAAACCGCCGGACAAACCACCTGAAAGAGAACTTAAGGGTGCGAATTTCGAGGCAAAAGCGTGGGAGAGACCAGCTTTTGCACTTGAAAAGAATGTTGTCGCACTATTTATTACCGGACCGATACTTGCTGTACCGGCCTGAATTTTCTGATGAACCAAATTGCTGATAAAATGACTCGTCGCCGAATGCTTCGGATCAATTCCATAGGCAAGATTTTTCGCCTTATTTCCCTCGTCCAATACTTCTAATGCTTTCGTCTTCGCCTCCAAGAAAGCGTCCAATTTCTGCAAGAGGAGAAGAAAAGAAAAAAAATTAGCGACAACTTGCAAAAAAAAAAAAAAAAAAATAATAATAGTAACAAATTTTTAATTAATTAATTTTCCGTAATTTATTTTCAACTCATTTTCTGTAATTATGTAATTCGTTTTAATTAATTTTATGCATAATCCACTTTTAATCATTTTTAATAAAATAACTTCAATCTTAAATAAAAAAAATAATAAAATTTGGGTAAATATTTTTAATTAAAAGTAAACTTTAATTAATTTAATTAAACTTTAATAAAATTGTAAAATATTTAAATGAAGCTAAATAATGTTTTACTCTAACTATTAAATTGAAACAAATTTTTTTTTATTAAATATTAAACTGTTAAATATTGTAATAAAAATACTAAGCAAAAAAAGGGCCAAACAAATAAATTAATTAAAAATAGTAAACAAACAAAGAAACAAAGATACTAAAGAAACAAAAAATACTAAATAAAAAAAACTAAAAATACTAAATTGATAAACAAAAAAAAATAAAAGTGATAAGCAAATAAACAAAAAAACTAAAAATACTAAACAAGAAATAAACGAACTAAAAATACTAAATAAAAAGACAAAAAAACTAAAAATACTAAATTGATAAACAAAAAAACTAAAAACACTAAACAAGAAATAAACGAACTAAAAATACTCAACAAATAAAAAAAAGATTAAACATTCTAAACAAATAGTTTAATAATTATTAAAATATGTTTAGAAAAAAAAATAAAATGTGTTTAATATTAAAATATTAAACACGAAAATATTAAATTCTAAATCTAATCCACTTCATCGGCAATTTTTCCCTAAGAATTCTTGAACTACAATAAAATTCACAATTGCTTTTGAAAACACGTATCGCATGTATTTGAAATATAATTATATAATAAAAACAATAGTTAAACTCGAATTCCTTTATAGCACGTGCTCGAAAAAAGTAGTAAATTTTCTTTTCTTTTTCTTTTTTTTTGAAAAATTTCCGTATAATATACCAGCATAACTGGTAATTGTATAATTTTTACAAGTCAGTTGTAAAAAAAAATAATTGTAACAAGGTAGAAAGTTAGGTAACAAAAATTCTCATCTTACATTCTTATTCCAAACTGCATTTAAACATATAAAGTGCATTACGATGTGTTTATTTAAAACCCGGATTTCATAACTAATTACATATATTGAACATGCTTCATTGAATATTAAATACATGTCTGGCACAATTAATTCACACGTCTTCTTTTCTTTTTAATAATTTATATATAAAGAGAAAAAATTACTATATAAAGTAAGAAATTATTTTTTATTAAAAACTTTTTATCCGAAAGTGTAATTTTTCGAAATTTTTTTTTTTTTCATTATTATAATTCTCTATATTATAATTCTCCAAATTATTATAGTTTTAATACAAATTTAATATAATTATTATAATTATTCTAATTATTTTATTATTTATTTAATAATTTAATTGATATTAATAATTTTTTTCTAGACGATTTTTGATTATTTTTCTTTTATCAAAATCGTGTAAATAATGTGAAATATAAAACTTACTCCAAAGACAAAATTAAGGAGTCCATTTGTCACTCCAAGTTTAACGACTCCTATTTTTCTCTTGTCTCTCTCTGACCTTTCATCGTCAGCAGCGACTTCCTCGTCGACAGGATAAATCTAAAATCAAGCCAATCAGCAGGTTAATTATATTTTTGAAAAATATTCACCAACAAAAATTGAGTAATTGACGGTAATTGTTTTTTTAAACATGCACTACAAAGTCGAAAATTTCAATTCAAACTTAGGCCACTTTATTTCACTTATTCTCTACTCTTTCATTAATTAGTTAATTAAAAATTACTTTGATAAAATTCTAAAAGTATTTTCAAAAAAAAAATAAATAAAAAGATTTTATTTAATTATTATTATTCCAAACTCAAATAAATAAATTATTTATTATTGCTTATTATTATTAATCAATTTTAATAATTAACTACTATAAATATAAAATATTATTAACTAATTTTAATTATTAGTGATTGACTATTGTTAATTATTAATAATTCACGAATAATAATTACTACAAAGTACCTATTATTATTTATTAATTATTAATTATTAATATTAATTTAGTAAATTATTTATTTTATTTATTAATATTTATTAAATAAATAATTTATTATTTTTTACTTAATGAATATTAATCTAAATAAATTAATAAATTTTATCACTCCAAGGAGACTTGAACCCCGGTCTCAAAATTGCCAGTCCGGACACAAACCCTCGCGACCATTTATCCATTAAATTAATAAATATGTTATTATAGATATAATTGTAATTAAAATAATAAGAAATTGCACAAATCCAAGACTTTCTCGTTTTTGATGAGAATGTAAAAAATAAAATAAAATAGCTAATTAAAAATTACAATTAAAATATTTTTGCAAATATATTTGCAACTAACAATTGTTTAAAATAAAGGAAGGTAAAAGTTACCAAAAAAGAGCCTAAGTTAAAAATGAAATAGCAGACTCGAAAAGTAAGCTTACCTTAAATTAAAAATTAGTCTGCCTCCAAGAATTCGAGGATTCACCAAATTTAGAAAAAAAAATTCTCTTAAAGCTTCGCACCAGAAAAACCGTGTTTAATTAAAAATAGAAAAATGACTAATTTGCTAAAGAAATTTGCAATAAGCTGCTACTGTGTTATGTGTGATGAAAAAAAATACAGCGCTGCTTTTTAAAAATTAAAAAGGAAAATTATTTCTTTTTCTTTTATAAAATATTTTATAAACCAGAAGATTGAAAAATATTCTCTGATATATATTAAGTATATTTCCAAATCGATTTTCACTTTGAAATGTATAAACGACTGGCAATACAGAAGCATTAAATTTAACTTCTAATTTATATGCATCGTCAAAAAGTGTTAATAAGCAGATATGAATATTCAAGCGTAAAATAAAGTACATAAGGAGTTAATAAATTCCTGAATTTTAAATTCCATTTGGTAAATAAATTTACTGAATAATATATTTACGAATAATATATTTAATAATAATTTACAAAAAATTAATTAATTTGATATATTCCCCAATTAGATGAATCTAAGTAAAATTAATTATTACTATAGTAAATAAATAAATATAAATAAAAAATTGAAAATAAATAAATAAAATTTCCAAGAAATAATATTTACAATTGAATTAATAGATAATATTGGTATTTTATAAAAGATTACAAAAAAATTACATAAAATTTTTTTTTTTTTTTAATTTGAAATGAAACAATTTTTGTGCAAACTATTTTTTCTCCAAATTAAACTGTAACAAAAAAAAACCGGTTTTTCAAAGTCAGAATGAAAACGAGAGTGATTGAATGGGTCAATGTATCGGATACAGTAAATACATCCAAGTTTGACATTTATAATTCACGAAACGGATGAAAAAAAAATGAAAGTACATAAGAGGTCAATCATCTCTTTCCTGTCCGAATTTTTATCGATTACACAATTATTCTCACATCATGCGTAAAAGTTTCCGAGAAAAATAATTACTCGCGTGCAATACTCTATATGGTCGTTTACAAAAGTATAATTGACACTTTTAAATATGAGTGTCATTTTTAAAATATAAATTAATAAAATGCCACAAGGAAAATAAATTTCTTCGACAATTTTTTATATCTTGAAATAATAATGCAAACTTGAAATTTGGAAATATTGAATATTTCTTTAATTGAAAAAAATATCAAGTGTTGAAATTTTAAGTTTAAAAAATTAAAAAATTATTTAAAATAAAAAAAAATAATATTATATGGAAAAATATATAATTGTATTAATTTATAACAATGTATGAAAGTAAAACGTGCAATGAACAAAGCTACGTCAATTTACTCGAAAATTAAAAAAATATAAAGTAAAAAAATATAAAATTATAGGAATTTTAAAATAAAAAATTTAAAATATTTAATAAAATACGTAAGTTTAACTAAAATGTGCAGAGTACAGAAGAGTCATTGTCAAAGATAAGAAAAAGAAAAAAAGAAAATAGATTAAAAAAATAATAAAATAAAAAAATAATAGAAAAAAAAGAAAAAAATTGCATTGAACAATAAATAAAAATATTTAGTTAAGAGAAAAATGATAGTGTATTATTTATTCATAGTGCAAAAGAAAAAAATTTTTTTTCTCAAAAGTCATTTTTCGTTGATTGTTATTTGAAATCTCAATATAAATGTTTTTAAATTGCATAAATTTTTCTCCAAAAATTTGTTGCATAAAATAATCGAAAATTTTCTCTAAATATTACAAATCTACTTCAATGACAAGCATCTTCATTTTTTTTCTCCTTTCTAATGTCGAAACTCGTATAACCTTCAAAAATATTGTTTCTAATTTTGTAACTGAATTTCAAAGATCACGTAGATTGAAATTCAAAAAAAAAGGAAAAAATATAAAGTTAGCATTAATTTTATTACTACATTCATTTACAAAAAAAATAAATAAGAATAAAAAATGACTATAAAACTGTTTTGAATATTGCTGACAAATTTTATCTGTAATTATAATTATTTAAAGTAATTCACAAAATATTGAGGAAAAATTTTAAAATTGAAAAATTTGACAAAAAACATGTTATTCCAAAAATTTTGATATTATACATTAGCAATATGTGTGAGAGACATCAATCGGATGATTTGTCTGACTAAAATCGACTAGATCTACTGAATTACATGAATAACGAATATGCTTTACCGAGCATTGAAATCTCCAAGACTTGAGAAAATTTCGATTCATTTGAATAAACCGCTTCAATATTTTTTATAAAATCACAATTATCAAATATAATTTTTGAAAATTTATGTGAAGATATTTTTTAACTGTTTTTAAACTTTTTATTTTATTTTTAATAATTAATAAAAAGAAATTAATTTCAAGTGATTACTTATAAAATTTATAAATAAATTTGTAAAATTTAATTGTTTTATAAAATCTACGCTCTAAATTTGAATTAGTAAAAATTTTTACTAATTTGAATTATTGACTGACTTTTAGCTTTTGAATTAGTAAATTTTATTAATAAATAGTTATTTCTACTAATTTATTAGTAAGACTTTACTTTTTTATATTATTTTTTTTATTATTCACTAAATTAGTAAATTTTTCAAATAAATAGTCGTTTTTACTAATTTATTAGTAAAATTTACTAATTCAAAAGAAAAAAATCAGACACTAATTAAAATTAGTAAACATTTTTATTAAATCAAATTTAGAGAGTAATTATAAAGTTATAAAATTTAATAATTATTTATTTTATATTATTTAATATTTAATAATTTCATAAAATTTTCCACATTATTTATAAATATATGATGACTATTGGCAAATCAAATAGTGTCACCAGTTAAAAGTGCGGAATGTGTTTACTTCCCACCTCAAGAATAATCTGAATCATAAATTTAATATCGGTTCAAATATGTTAACATAAATTCAACATTAACTGCATTTATAATGAGAATTTTAATGATAATTTTCTTTAATAATCTCAGCCTACCTTCCTTTCTATTCTAAAACTATTAGAATTCAATGAGTTCGTAACTCATAAAAACAATTGAATTATTAATCACCTACTGTTTGCTTTTCTTATTGTTCCTTAAAAAAGTAGTTGCAATTTTTCTATATCTTTTGATCTTTTATCACTATTGTCACTATTATTATATTATTCTTATTCTGATGATTATTTTTACTATTAATATTACTATTCCTCTAATTATTTTATTTTTATTATTATTATTATTTATTTATTTGTTTTTTTTTTGCTTAGGGAATTATTTATTGCAAAAATCAATCAATTGAATTGCTATAAAAATAAATTATTACATTTTTATTACAAAATAGCGAAAAAAAATTTTTTTAAAAATATTTTTCGATCTGGAATTTTTAAATACAAAATTGAAACACACATTTTCGATATAAATGTAGTTAAAAATTAATCAAATCAGTGATGAATTTAGTTTTTTATTTATTTATTGAAATACATCTCTGCAGTCTAAAAAAAATTTAGGAAGAGAAAGACAAAAATGTTAATAGAAAATAAGAAAAAAATTAAATTTAAATTGTTATTTGTTAATTATTTTATTAATTAGATACTGAAAAAATATTGAATAATTTTTTATTTAAAAATATTTTTTTAAAATATTTTCAATATTGACTTTTTGATCTATATTATTTTATAAATAAAATAAAATAAATATTATAATAAATTAAATAATAAAAAATATAAAGTAAAAAAATACAGAGTTTGCAAATATATGCTCAATTTAAAATTAATTACTGCGAAAATTTTGTTCAAATGCTAATTTCTAGTTTCATGTCAAATTAAGGGTGAAAATAAATACAAGGACAAAATTTTTTTTTAAATTGAGCGATTCAGTAAGGTGTAAAAAAAAATTTAAATACGTAATTATAAAATCCGAGTGTCGCGTGCGATCACGTTTTATATATATATACATATATAAAATAATATCTACTTTTATGAGCGCGAGACTATTACACACGACCACTTTCACTATTAACTCGCTTCTTTCCATCACACCTTCTCTTTCCATTTCATTTTTCTTCTCCTTAATATTTATACACAAATGTATGTATAGACATTTCTCCCGAATTTTTCTCTTTTTTTCTTTTGCGAATATATCCGCAATTTTCGCGGAAGAAATTTTCGTCTATGTAGTTTAAAAACGAAGTCATTATAAACTTTTTGCTTCCGCGAATAAGTATAGAGAAAAAATAATAAACTATTTTGTATAAAATATCTTTTTTTAAAAATATAATTTAGTGTTACAATAAACATTCTTTATATCATATATAAAATTCATATTATAATATTTTATATCGTATATAAAATTTATGTATAAAGTGTATAAAATTGTGTATGATAACATTTTTTATGATATATAAAATTAAATATGATAAAATTTATATGATATTTAAAATTAAATATGAGAAAATTTATATGACACAAAAAGGGTTTAATATCATATATAAATAATGTTTATTACGTTTATTATTATTACTTTAATTGTAATATAAATAACTATGAATAATTATGTAAATTATTTTGATTAATTATTATCTAAATTACTTTTTGCATAATTATCTCAATTATTTTGAATAATTATCTAAGTTATTTCCAATAATTGTCTAAATAATTTTGATTAATTATCTAAATAAATTTGATTACATATCTAAATAATTTTTAATAATTATCTGAATAATAATTGATAACTTTCTAAATAATTTTGAATTTTAAATAATTTTGAATTTTAAATAATTTTAAATTATTAATTAAATAATTTTAAATAATTATCAAAATAATTTTGAATAATTAGGAATAATAACATTTTTAACAAAATAAAGATATCAGTGTGATTGACAAGTAATATGGTATCAACTCACTTCATTTAATGGACTGAGATCATCCTCGGCAGCGCGTTTAACGACAGGACTTGAGGTAACAATACCAATGACTAATAAAAGTCCACAGAGAATGCAAGATGTCTTCATTTTTCAATTTTTCCTTCCTCTCTCTCTCTCTTTTTTTCAAAAAATTAAATTTCCTGCAAATAATATTTTATTATTATATCTGTAATTCATTCTTACATATTCTATATGCCGTTATAATCAAGGACGATAGTTGCGACATAATAAAAAAATGTTTTCAATTAATTTAAAAAAAAAAATTTCTTTTAATATTCTTTAGTCAATTTTTTCATAAGAAAAAAATGTAATCTCATTAAAATTGCTAAGCTTGTTTGCTAATTAGTAGCTAATTAATATTAAACTACAGTATTTTTAGTATAAAGGATGTACTAAATAGTTTACATTATCTTAAAACTGACTAATTCACAGTTTGTTAACTGATTAATCAAAATTATGTTAAATAATTAATTAATAATTGGCTAAGTAATTAATTATTATTATAAGGAACAAAATAATTAACAGTTCATTATAGAAATTAAAAAAGAAATAATTATTTAGTATAACTATAAATTATTTGGTTGCACTAATTATCTGTTATAGTTATTTAGTCGAACTAATTAGCAAAAATCAAAAATATAATAATAATAATTTTTTAAGTCACTAATTAACTAATTTATAGTCGAATTTTTTACCTATTAGTAATTTAGTCCCACTGAATAACAATTAGCTATTTAGTCGCACTAATTAACAATTAGTAATTTAGTCCTAATGATTAAAATATAATATTAAAAATATAATAACAATTTTTTAAGTCACTAATTAACAAATTTATTGTCGAATTTTTTACCTATTAGTAATTTAGTCCCACTGATTAACAATTAGCTATTTAGTCGCACTAATTAACAATTAGTTAATTAGCAGCACTAATTAATAATTAGTTATTAAATAGCAATAATTAACTATTAATAATTTAGTTTCACTAATTACCTACTAATTATTTAGCTTCAATAATCAAGCACTAATTAAATAGTCATAATAATTAAATATCTGTTATTTAATTACACTAATTATGCATCAGTTACATAGTTATACTAATTAACTCTTAGTTATTAAGTTGCTCCAATTAACCTTCAGTTATATAGTTATATTAATAAATTTTTTTTTTACTTATACTAATTTACTATTAATATTTACTTCCATTAACTAACTATTAATTAATAAGTAAAAAGAATGAATAAAAGTTCAATGATTTTATTAATTATAACTGTTAATTAGAAAAAAGTAAAAAATTCCAAACTAACACGAATTTAAATAAAATAAATAGGAGTTATTGTAACTGACAAATAAATACATAATTAGTGGAACTAAATAATTAATAATTTATTACTGTAATTTAATATAAAGCTAATAATGTAATTATATAAATAATAGGTAATTAGCGAAACTAATTAACTAGGAGGTAATTAGTGAAACTAATTAACCAGGAGGTAATTAGTAAAACTAATTAATTAACAGCTAATTAGTGAATCTAATTAATTGACAGCTAATTAGTGAAACTAATTAACTAGCAGGAAATTAGTAAAACTAAATAACTGAAAAATAATTGTTTAGAAGAAAAAAATATTAATTAGTGAAACTAAATAATTATTAATAGGTAATTAGTTAAATAAATAACTAATAAGTTATTATTGTGACTAAATCATTTTTCGTTAATTAGCGAAGATACATAATTAGAAGGTAATTTGTGAAACTATATAATTAATAGAGAATTATTGTAATTAAAAAAATAGCAGGTAATTAATGTAACTAAAGAATTATTAGGTAATTAGTTTAACTAATTAACTAATACCTAATTAGGGTAATTAAGTAGCTAATAGGTATTTATTGCAACTATATAAATATTAGGTAATTAGTGAAGATCAAAATTAGTAGGTAATCAGTGAAACTGAATAACTAATAGATAATGATTATGACTAAATAACTGTTAAGTAATTAGTGAAGCTAAATAACTACTAGTTAATTGGTTTAACTAAATAACTAATAGGTAAAAATTAGTGTGACTAAAGAACCAAAAAGTAATAAGTGTAATTAATAATTTTTTAGGGTAGGTTGTAAAATATATAAAAAATTATATTTTTCATAACACTGTACTAATTAATAGTATTCTACTTAATAGTAATATATTAATAATTATATATTACAAAATAAATATTAGAATATTATTATTTTACTAATTAGCAATAAAAAATTAATATTTCTTTATTATTTATTTACTTTTTAATTATTTTTTTAATTGTAATTAATTGTTAGTATATAATAATGGTTAATTAATGAAAATATAATAATAATAATAATAATTATTATTATTATTACTCTTAATTTTTTCTCTCTGCAACTAGCAGGGTTCGAGGACCTACACTGAGAAAAACTTCTTTTTTAATTCAAAAATAAGTAGTCAAGCAAAAAAATTTGTAAGTATGAATTAAACGTAATTTTTATTGAATCTCATTTATTATGTATTGAATTAAAATTATTGTGTTTAATTCAAAAATAATTTTTGGTTGACCGAATAACAAAGATAATTAGGTTTGATTCAAATATATTGTTTTCTCAGTGTAAACAATCAATTATTAATATAAAAAATAATAATAATAAAAATTAATTAATTAATTATTGTAATTAGTTTGCATAAGTGATAATAAAAATGAGCTAAATAATATTAATGATTAATTATTAAATAATTAACTAATTAATTAAGTACTTTATTAATTATTGTAATTTTTTTTGTATAAATAACAATGAAAATGTGATAAATAACAATAATGATTATTTATTAGATATTTAATTACCAAGCAATAATCAATAATGTACTCGTCAACAAGTGTTAAAAAAAGTACTAATTAAGAAAAATTAATGCCAAATATAAAATTACTTTTTGGAGAGCATAATTAAAAATCTATTTTTATCCTCGTGATCTTTCACCTGTATTGCAACAAGAGGCTTGGGAATAGGACTACAATTAATTCCAGTTATGCTAAGGGAATCAACGAAATTAAGTCGTTTAACTTAAAAACGATCTAAATGGGAAAAACTCGTATAACTTGCATGACAACTTGTCTTTCGTTAAAAATAACAAAACGTGCAAAGTTCATAATAAACATTTTGTAATAGATTCTTTACTTTACCTCATTACTCTTTATGCCTATATGCAAAAATAAAAAAAAAATGAAAAAGAAAAAGAAAAATGAATATATTTTCCACTCTATTTAGGATTAATTTTCACAAAAGAAAAGAAGAAATAAATTTTCCCCTCTCGTTTTTCCATCACTCTTTTCTTTAATTAACAAAACACTGAAATTTGTCTAGATTTGAATTAAACAACATTACTTACATAAGTTTGTAAGTAACCTACAAATGAAAGTACATATGAAAGTATAAACTTTTACATAAAGTGAATATTAACAGAAATTCAATATATTTAAATAATAATAGACGAAAAGGAGAAGAAAAAAGAAAAAAACGAGAGAAAAAATCAAAAAATGTCGAGAAATAAAAATAAATAATAAATAAAAAATGTCAAATTCCTGTGATGGAAAAATTAGCAGGACCTACAACTAGTAGTTGACCTAAAAAGGCCTGAAATAATTTTTTCGTAAAAATTATCATTTTGCAAAGTTATTTCATAATAAAGATGAAATTCTCAAATCGAAAAAAAAAACCACGACACTAATCACCGATTATAGAACGAAAAAGCAAAAAAATCACCACACCTCGAGTGCAAAAAAGCATGAAACGAAAAAATAACAAAAGCAGTGATTTTTTTTTCCCTTCACAAAAATAAACACATGCACGCGCGTTTCAATTTTTTTTTTTGTTTTGTTAAATTTCCAATGGGCGAAAAAAATAAATTTTGATTTTCATTTTTCAATTTGGCGAACACTTACTGATTTTTTTTCGTGAAGTGCGTGAATGCGTGACAGATGTGTACCTCACGGAGTGCGAGGCTCGTTTGAGGATTATGGAGAAGGAGGTGCCCAAGTCTTACAGAGGCAAACGAACGCGAGCATGTGTGTTTCGTTTCGTCGTCTCAAGAATCGAGAATCAACTTCTGTGTCTGTCTGTCTTTATTTCTCTCTGTATACAACACACTCTCCTACGGTTTATAATATATAAACTTCCCTCTCTTGGGTGAGGCTGACTTCAATTTAAAAGCTGAACCCATTGATGTCTATTGAACCCACTTTATATTTTTATATTTTTATATATATGTATATACAGGGAGGGGATGATGATGATGAAGCTTAGGAGAAATAAATTATGCATGTAATTAAAAAAAAGATTCTACTTTGTAATGGAGATAAAATATACTTAATTGCATAGGTACATTGTCCTGGATGCTGAGTTGATGACTTTAGTTAAAAAAAAGAATTTTTTTATGTTTATGTTAATTTTTTTTTTGTAAAAATAAAAAATAATGTATTTTTTTATTTTTAGAAATATAAAAAATATAATTGAGAATTATAATTTATCGATCACTCCGAGTCAGGTTACCTGACTCGGAGTGATCGATAAATTCTAATTCTCAATTATTAAATACTGCCGAGTGATCAATTCAATCTACATAATATAAAAAATAATAAATTTATAAATTTTAAAAATAAAAAAATAATAAATTTATAAATTTTAAAAATAAAAAAATAATAAATTTATAAATTTTATAAATACAAAAAATAATAAATTTATAAATTTTATAAATACAAAAATAATAAATTTATAAATTTTATAAATACAAAAATAATAAATTTATAATTTTTATAAATATAAAAATAATAAACTTATAATTTTTATAAATATAAAAAAAATAAATTTATAAAATTTCTATAAATAAATAAATAAATAATTGAATTTTCCCGGAATTATTTCGAGACCCAGGGGAATTAGTCCCCCATTTTTTCTCATGATTTTAATTTATTTTTCAAAACATAATAAATTAATAATTTTTATAAAAATAGAAAATAATTTATTTATAAATTTTTATAAATATTGAATTTTTACAAATAAAACAACAAGTGAAGTTAACTTTTACTGTAGTAAAAGTTAACTTCACTCGTTGTTTAATTGTAAAAATAAAATAGTG